ATAGCACGAACCTAGATTGCTACCTCAGGCATTCTGCAGAGCAATATGCCAAAGCACCCACATACTGAGTGTTTGCAAATTTTAAGTTTGGGATTGACTATGTGCCGGTCCCTCTTCAGCTGTGGGCATTTAATCCTGCACCAAAATCGCTGTTGACCTTTTCTGGTATTTATGATGTCAGTATGGATTTTTATCATTGTTTGAGCTCCTGAGACAAAGCAAACAGCTTCTATATATTTTTTTTCTGTTCATGCAAAGTGTGAATATGGGAATCTCAGTCCTCCTATCAAGCCTGACATTTCTCCTTCTTGGATGCTTGATTAATGGAGGTAGGCGATTCTGCTTTACTGCTTTCACCAGCTTTCCAGAGAAGACTACTTGCACAGATGAACATTAATTGTAATTTATATTCTCTGGATGACTTAGTGTACAAGTAGAATTATTTGAAATACATTAGTTACGTACTGTCCAGTTGCTGTTGCACAGAAGTACTTAAAATATTCATCATATCAGATAGCTGTATGAAACTAACATGCAGTAGTAGAACATCACTGTTCAATATATTCTCTGAGTTATGACATATACCTAGAAATACCATAACGCTCTTAGATGTGGTGTTCTTCTCAGAGTCTCTCAACATTGATCTCTAACAGGGATTATTCGGGTCTCATTTGTCAGTCTCAGCTGTGACTCATGCACAACAATGGCCTAAAGAAACAGGCAGACACAAGAATTGTCACCCGATGCTAGCTAAAGTACAAAGACAGTCTCATGCTACTTGTGCTTCTGGCTGAACCTGAAACCTGTAACACAACCTGTAATTCTGACGACTATTATAGTCAGGTCCCAAATAAATTCACAATACTACTTACCATGAATGCTCTTGAGAAACATAAATTTAAAGTAAAAACTGTAAGTTTGGAAAAAAATTAAGACATTTCAGTACCAATATTTTGGGTTAGCAAGAATAATAAAACAATTAGCTGATACGGTTTTTAAAAGAACTTAAAGATTGATGGCTGAGAGCATCGCTTCAGACTGCTTCTTTTCTCAGAAGAATTCACACAATTTCTGCAATAAAGGCATATTGGTTACACTAATCCTTACTGTCTGAAACGCTTCGCAGCACTTCATCCAAGAATGCGTATGATCTACAGTCCCACTCTTTTCCCTTAGGCTAGGTGCTTTCTCAAGTTTAGAACTGTCAAAATCCAGTGAAAGATGAATAGAAAACATAATCAGTGTCAACTAAGTCACGGAAAACATGCATGACAGGTTATCTTCACTGGGCTGGCTGAAGTCTCACACCTTTGAAGTCCGTATTTTGGAGTTATATATCTGTCCTAGAGAAACAGACTGCCTATCTTTGGGAGAGCAAGAGAGAATGAGGCTAAAGCAGAGATGTCCAAATCCCAGCTGAAAGCTGTATCTGGCTCTTGAAATACAAGTTACTGCTTCCCAAAGACATATTTACACATAGAGATTGAAGCTTGCATATAGAAAGAGTGCAACTATAAAACCCCCATAAACTGCTAAGAGAAGTTTCTAAATGTTACATTGCTTGAGACACTGTTTCAGGCTACCAAAGAAAGGTGTGAATTTCTCCCAAATCCTAAGGTTGCAACTTCAAAGAAGAGATTTTAAAATGAAATCACATATGTACAGCCCTAATTTGTGCACTCACAGAATAGTTGGCTCATTTATTGTAAAGGCATATGCAAAAAGCTTATCGGAAAATGGAAGAACAGCAATAATTTACAAAGGAATCCTATTTCCTTTTTTCCATATAGAGAGAAAATGCAGTAAGCAGCTTTACCACCTAAAATATTAAGTCACTGGGTAAGGGTCTTATCTTTTCAGCAGCTCTTAAGAGGAATGGAAGAAGAACCTTTGCAGAACAAGAATACTGGGTATTGCAGGTGCTATTTAAAACATACTGTGGGCCTTTCTACACAGCAAATTGGACCTGATTAAATTGAAACCAATCCCAAATCAGAATTTCTTCCAAGTGTGGTGTCCTAGAAAAAGGGAGTCTGAGCTCCTGGGCTCTGTCACTACTTTTGTTGGGAAGGAAAGTCTTCCTGGGCACAGAAAGAATTGCAGACTCTAGGACCCCTTCTCTTTATCTGCATGGCTGTAATTTGGAAGAGGCTGTGCTGGACTGTTATCCTGCAGCAACCTGAAGAAGGAAGCTCTTGCCTTTCCTGCACTGATGTGAAAAAAAATCTTCTATTTGCTCTAACAACATCCTGGAGCAAGCAAGTTTATAATGGCCACTTCTAGCCAACGAGTGGGTGTTTGAACACTCCTGGGAGGGCCTGTGGGTCTAAGGTGCCCTCAAAGCTGGAGTTGGGTATAGTGCCAGATTCCTCTAGAGAGTACAATTTCCCTTCACAGGAGTTTAATTTTTCTTCTGTTTAAGTAATATTTCAAGAAATCTTTATAAATATACTTGGGACTTCCGAAGGAAAAACAAGGAAGGGATTAAAATATCAGTTTAAACCCAGTTCTTTTAGAAGAATATTTGGGACAAATGACATGACACATCCTTTGAATCTTCTGTAATGCTGTCAGGGTGAGGACAAATTGAGAATCACCATATGATCTAAAACAATATTTACAGCAGTAGAAGAGCAACAGTATCACTCCAACTTACTTGCCCTTGATTTCTAAGATGTTCGATTTCCACTGAGTCACAGAACCACAGAATCATAAAATCATTTAGGTTGGAAAAGACGTTTAAGATCATCAAGTCCAACCATTAACTTTGTACTGCCAAGTCCACCACTAAACCATGTCACTAAGTGCTACTACACCTACACGTCTTCTAAAGACCTAATTCTTATCCATAAACCCTCAATCCTACTGTCACCACCATCAAACTCACTGTTGCCTAATGGGACTGCATCCCCTGATAGAGGCTTGAGAATACGCTTTTGCTTGGACACATTCATTTCCCTCTCCTACCCAACATACAGGATCACTATTTTGGACGTATGAGCCTTGCATAGTCCTGGGGCTATGGAACTGTCCCATTAATTCTTTCTTTGTGCATGACTGTCTGGGAGATGAGCAGATATAGATGCTGACCAGTTTCTTGCCAGGATTAAAAAACTGTACTAGAAGCAGGTGGTCAGACAGAATTAAAAAGACAGGCTGGCCAACTTACAAAATCATACATTTGGGAGCTGTGATATGTACGTTATGAGGGCTGGCAGTAGCACAGGAATTCTGTCTCCATGTGTAAGTTAGAGCTTTTCACAGCTCTTATCAGCTTAACAACCTTGCCTTGCTCTATGGAGACTGACTTACACCCACTTTTTAACTTCCATTAATTATCCTTCTCTGTGTTCCTGTATTTTCTGTCTGTATTTTTTTTTTCAATCTTAGGCCTGCCTCTGCTCCATATTCTTTCTTTAGAATAAGTCTTTATGCTTGGTTTCTTTCCCCAAGGGAGCTTCATTGAAACTGTGGCAGAAAATACAAGCAAGGAGATGATCCCCCTAATTATCTCCATGCAGATTTTCCTATCTTTGACCATGCAGTGCCCAAGTTCATACACATTTCTTTACCTGCTACATTATGCTAATACACCATATTCAGTAAAATATTATTAATGGGACAGTAACACACAGTGGGACAGTACAATAATTATTCCAGCATTACTCCCTAGACATACATTTATGTAAATTATGGTTGTCAAAGAGTATGTTTACATGAAACTCAAGGTTCAGTGTAAGGAATGGCTTGGTGAAGAGGTTTGACCAACACCCAAAGAACAGGAAAACTTCATATTCCTTAATGAAGAAAGTTTGTGAGTAGTTCAGTTAAGTAAGAAAGTAATTGCTTCTGGCCTGCTGAAGGGACAACAGTAAATCCAGAGAAGGGAAAGGAAACAAATGTATATAGAAGCAAGCACTAGAACCCAAGCCTTGACTGTAGAGCTGAAGATCCTGCCCATGAGCTAAGTACAGGCAAAGGCATTTCCACATGGGGTGAAGTACAGCAAATGTGCTGTCTTTTCTGTCACCTTTCTAATGGAGTGGTGTATTTTGCTTCTGTAAATAAATACTCCCATTTCCTTAGGCTGACTTTGCTTGAGGTGAGTCAAGAGAGATGAGGATATGCATCAAGGTTACACTTTTGAGGGGCTGTACAACCTCAAAGCAGGAATGTCTCTACAGTCACCAGCACTGCAATACATATTCTGAGGGCAAGAGGAGAACAATAGGGCACATCTGACTCTTAAAAGCTGGCAACACCAGAGCCTGGGAGGATTAAATGTTTTTTGCAGTGTGTCAGCCAGGAAAGTGCTCTGGTTTGTGACAGGGTAATGAGGAACTTTTTTTGTGACTGTCTCCTTACACAGTTACTCTGAAAGGCTCCTTTCTTAGCCAAACTATTAAGGAAATTTTCAAGGAGTTGTGTGAAACGGGGATAGGTAAAAAAAACTACTTTAGATGGATAATTTAGAGCCCTTTATCAACTCACTAAGAGGAGTACGCAGTAACTTCTTTCTATTCACATGTAAAACTCTGCCCCCTCCATCCTCCTCCCTGCTTCAGGTATGACTCTAACTTCATTCATTTTCAGCAGCGACATGGATAAGTTATATTGAAAGTAATAATTAATTTTCATTACCAAAATGTAATATAAACCAATTTCTTCCAAGTACTGAATACTACGAGGTACTTGAATGTCACACCAGTACAGATTCCTCATAATTCTTTATCGCCTAATTTATTGTCAAACTCTCACCTGTCCCAAATAATGAGACCACTAAAACACACTACATAGACAATAAGTGTCATCAATCACTCTGTACAGCAAATCATTGAGGAAAGAGCTCACAAATAGGACAACTATATTCAAATACCAAAAATAGAAAAAGTGAAAACATTTAACAAATCTCAGATAGCCCTTTACCCCCACTATATTGTTTGCTTTACCATTTTCCCTCCCCCTCAAATAAAGACAGTAAAAAAAATTCATTAGAATACCTTTGAATTTGTGAAAGACGGCCCATAGCTCAGCAATGTCAGTGGCAAATGTTATATCTGTGTCGAGGACAATGACTCGCTCAAGATTGGAAGGTAGAGTCTTAGTCAGAACCAACTTCATCAGCCCGTAAATCCCAGAGTAGTGTTTGTTGGGGATCCAAGACACTTCCGACTGACAGGAAAAAGGAAGTGGGAAAGAGGAAGAAAAAAATAATCTTCATTAGAGAGAGGAACTCTTCCTGACACTAGTTTCTTGTAATAGTGGAAGATTGCTGAGGTGGAAACAGCCATCTAAAATCCTGCTTTTAAATTAACTTCAAAAGCTTTACAATATGATAAAGCTGCTATAAGATTGACAAAGGGTTCTTCAAGGCAACTGCTTTACACAAAATAATTGAAATTAGTTGAGCCTGTCCAACTTTGTACAATCCATTGTGAGTCATCCACGTATCTTGATAAAACTGAAATATATTTTTGTATCAAAATTTCAGGTGTAAGGTATTCTGCTCTCATTTTCAAACAAAACAAAAACTTTGGTTTGAACTTCTGCCATTCCCAGAATCTTATGACTTAAGTAGAACTAACAAGCTTTTTGGGGTTTTCTTTTATTTCTTACAGATTCGAGGGCAGAATTTCAAAAGGCCAGTCATTTAGAACACTGGTCCAGAAAATTGCTAAAGAATTACTTCTTATGAACTCAAATTTTTCCTAAGCCTTACATCTTTAATTTCTAACCACTGACATCACACAGACATGCCCCAAAGTGGAGAAAGTGTGAGAACATTTTTAGCCACATTTTTTGTTAGGTATATATTGAATAGGCAAACCCAAACACATTTCTTCATTAAGGGCTAAACAAAACATTTCTACAGCTTCTAAAATAAGTTGGGATACTAAACTCAGTATTACATTGTGCTACTTGCACTAGAATGTTCCATGAGCTATGCTGAATTTTCTTCAAGACTCAAGTTCTCAAATATCACTGGGATATAAAAATGGGATATAGAAGTTTTTGTACAGTTCCTGTTGCCCTGTTTGAAATTCCTCATTTAATGTTTAAAAGTGCATGCACTAGAATTCTCAGATTTTAAGTTTTTCCCTGAGTCATGCTCCCATTAGCTTCAATTAGCATTTTGTCTGTAGGGGACCTGAGTGAGGCTGATTTCAGGATTTGTCCTGGCATGTTATACTTCAGAGAACGTAGGCAGAAAATAACTGCATTCATAAAACAGAAGATTTATTCTGTTGTTTAACTGTCTCATATCTGCTCACTGGTACTGTAAAGTTTTTATGTGAAACATCTTTTTGCACAGAAGAACTCATTTCCTCCAAAATCATTTAAGAAAACCTTCTGATAAGAGATAGGTTCCTAAACGTTATTTGGAAGCTGGAAGAGTAGTTTAAGAAAGGCTAATAATAGCTGCTTAGAGACCATTTCTTTTATAAATATAAAGTAACAAGGCCACTGCTGATGTAAGCTGACCTGCTCTTTTCCCTTTAAAATGGCAAACAGTTGTCTTCTGTATTATCAAGGTTACTGTACCAGGGCAGAGATTTCCCCCACTGCTAAGCTGGTAAAAAGACAGGGTAGTAGAGCAAACCTTTAAGGAGAAAAGCAAAATTTCAAGGGGAAAGGCAGGAAAAGCAGCTTATCTTAAAACAGAAAGAGCAAACTGAAGTGGGAAGTTTCAGTTGCTTTTTCGAAAGGCACCACATCCTGGCAATCCACTGGTGTGTTCCATTGTGTATATAATTAATATGCAATCACTTACATATGGCTGGCACTGTCACCTCCACATGTATCTATTACTTACTTGTGCTTTCTATAGGATTTGCACTGTAAAATGCCAGAATTAATATAAGCAATGATTGCTAGGACTGTGGTATAAACCACTATGAAAGAAATTATAGAGGGAAGTAATACACAGCATGGTTAATTCATGGGTCTAAAGCACCATTTCATTCTTGCTTGCTTGCTCTCTCTGTAATTTGTATGATGCTTAGAAGAGCGCTTGGGTCTCCCAGAGACATGGCAATATTAAGTCTCCAGTTATATAAAAGTAAACCTCAGTGCTCCCCATAAATGTTTTCTGAGTTTGAATCAGAGATAATTTCAAATGCACACCCTCAAATCTCCAGTTATTTGTGGTCCTAGCTCTCCTGCATAAGGGACCCAGGAATGGACCATCACATTAAGGTGTCAGCCAAGCAGAATTTACTCTGCTTCTCCGTACTCTCTATATCATTCTGAATCTGCCACTTGACATTGCTGCAATAGACCAGCCATGGAGATCAGCTCTCTAGTCATACTGACAAGGTAAAAGAGCTGAAGTACTTTTAGAGACTTGAGCTTGCTTTTGTTAGTACACATCCATATGCTATTGATTTTGGATGGCATGTCCTTCATTTTATTAGTCCAAACACACAATAGCGCCAGAATAACTCCTAATATGCTTATGCAAATAAGCCTAATAAGGCAGGGGTTCAGATGTTGCATGAATAGCCTGAGACAAGAAGGGAAGGTAAAAGGTGGCTGGAAAAGTGTATCATCACCTTCAAGGAGCCATGACATGTCTCACTGCAGGGAGTAGATCCTTGCCTGGCAGTTCCTTCTGATCTGGCACACAGAAGCCAAAAGCCTACCATCCTGAAGCCTGAAAGGATCACTTCTAAAAATGAAAAGAGCAGTCCCAAATGGTCTACCACAGCTGACAGACACCTCTGATCTGAGCATATGGTGAAGTTGGAACTCTCAATCCGTTAAATATACCTGAAGTTTTATCTCCTCTGATGCACTGTTGTCTAAGACATAAAGAGGGGTCCTAACTTGTCCCCAGTATAATTTCTTCATGGCTTTGCTATTCATGAATAATCTAACCATTACAAATTTGTGCTAAAGAAAACTTACACTACACAACAGCACTGTGAAGGCTCACTCTCTCTGGGTACTACATATGGTCTTCCTAAAAGGCACACAAGAACACTGTGGTTGAATAGGTGCTTAGTAGTTAAGAATTGCCAGTTTGCGATAAACAAGGTGGCATAAGCACAAACTTGTAACTTCTGCAATCTCCAAGCTGCCCACTTTGGTATAACTGGTAACACTTGGCCATTTCATTTACCTAAATGTTGTCTAAACATTTTCTGTAAGCCTTAATACAGTTTTTTTCTCTCCAGTGTAGTTATAATGGCCCATATATAGAATGTCTGTGAATCATCTGCTTTACAAGCTAGATCAGAGTTGCCTTTAGAGAACAAACACTCTTATAAGATATGGCAGGAACAGGAAAAAAAAAGAAGTAAAAGAGGAAAGCGAAACAAAATAGTGTGACACACTTTGCCATTTGTGTAATTCTCAGTTCAGCAGAAATAGCACACCTTGGATCTCTGGCTCTCAAGGTCTGGATTTTTGTGCATGAGAGGAGAGTGAAGAAAGGCATTTAGCTGGTGCTGACAGTGATTCTTTTAAGTAAGCTAAGTGAAATAATATCTACTCAGTATAGAACTTTCATCAGAATCATCTTTATTCTTTCCATAATTGAAGACTGAAAATACACTAAATTATCTAAATTATTTGGTGTTTCTGGCACTGAATATAGAAATTATATGCCCATGAGTCTGCATGCTGTATACAACCGATCACCCTGGTAAATGCCAGAGAAGCAGGAGGAACAGTCTCCATGACCAGCAATACTTTACCAGCATGTTGTCTTCCATAACTATGCTCTGATTGCCTCTGGGAACAGCTGGCAGAAACACAGTGCTGTATGCATCCTAACTCAGCTTTCTCACAGTTGCTCCCATTGTATAAATGTTCATCAGAGTTATCAGAACTGCCGTTTTTAAGGAGTGAAATCTAATAGAGACAACTTAAAATCATGCTTTTCTATTTCTGTGACAGAGAGAGGGGAAACAGCAGCTCCTTCTTGGTTGTGAATGAATTGTACACATTCTCAAGTATTTTCATTCTTAAAAACGCTTGAGTATGGTTGCTCACACATTGAGATCAAGAGCACAACTCTTCTACAAAGTCATCACTAATACATTCAGCCAGACTTCAACTCTTATACTGTACTTCTTTATGGAACTGCAGTGACACAGTTTTCCCTAAGCATGTCATTTTTTTCCCCACAAACAGGTGATGCAGGAATTTGCCCAGGCTTCCCAGGTGAATACTGATTGCTCTGTTGCTGTAAGCAAAATCTGCACATGGGCAGGTACCTTAAGCCTCTTTGAAAGACTCTTGAGGCTCAGCAGACAGCACACTTGGAAAACACTACTAACATGAACAGAATGACAGCAGAAGCACTGACCAACAGGAAAGGATGAACAACATACAGGTACCTACACTGTGTCAGATCAGAAGTCCATAGAGCTCAGGAGACAGTATATGATAGTGGATGGTGGCAGGTGCCTACTGAAGAGTTTTAAAAGAGGGAAATATACCACCTACATATATACTCCCATCATCTAGCAATCTGCACCAGATTTTGGAGTCAGAGATGGTATTTCTTTTGTTAACAACTTTGGACAGATTTCTCATCTGTGAATTTCATCAATTTTTTTATGTCCTATAAGTTTTTAGCAAACACAACATCCTGCAGCAGAGTGCCACACCTTATTTACAACTCCTGTTTGTCTGGACCCAGCTATAGAGGGAACCTCCTGTGTTTCAGTTTGTGCTCACTGTCTCTTGACCTGTCACTAGGCACCTCTGAAAACAACCTGGCTCTGTCTTCACCTCCCTTCAGGTACTTATATTCATTGATGAGTTTCCCCTGAGCATTCTCTTCTCCAGGCTGAACAGTCCCAATTTTCTCAGCCTTTCATTATGTGTGAAGTGCTCCAGTCCCTTAATCATCTTAGTGAACCTGACTTCACTGGACTCTCTCCAGTATGCCCATGTCTCTCTTGTATTGAAGAGCCCAGAACCTGACCCAGCACACTCCAGCAGTAGCCTCAACTGAGTAGAGTGGAAGGGTCACCTCCCTCAACCTGCTGGCAATACTTCATTCAACGCAGCCAAGGATACCACCAGCTCTCTTTGTCACAAGGATACACTGCTGGCTCATGTTCAACCTGGTATCCACCAGGACCACCCGCTTCTTTTCCGCCAAGCTGCTTTCCAGCTGGGTGGCTCACGTACTGGTACATGGTGTAGTTCCCAGGTGC